TAGGGCTTAGGGCTTAGGGGTTAGGCCTTGGGGTTTAGGGCTTAGGGTTTAGGGGTTTGGCCTTGAGGTTCTGGGGCTTAGGGTGTAGGTGTTAGGGTTTAGGGGTTTAGGGCTTAGGGTTTAGGGGTTTGGCCTTGAGGTTTTAGGGCTTAGGGTGTAGGTGTTAGGGTTTAGGGGTCTGGTATACTGCTCAGCATGAGCCTCATCATCATGCATGGTAGGATTGTAATTCATGGTCTTCAAACAGAACATGAAGTGTATACTCACCAACGTTCCTAAGGAACCATCTATTATCTTTTTGCCATGTAGACAGTCACCCAAAACACATAATAAGAAACTAATTGAAGTCATCATGACCCTGAGGATCACAACGATTACTACCGCCATCGCTCACGGACAGTGACCTTGACGATGATGATGATGATGATGATGATCACCAACATCATCATCATGGTCATGATCATGATGACCACGACGATCATAAGAGTACCCGCCGGTGGCATGGTTCACTAACCGACCGCCAGAGATCGCATGCAGACATACAAAACAATGGGTCCTAACTGCAAAAGTTCTTTCAACAAGGATCCTGCCGTTTCCGCTTTTCCTTTGACACCTTGCCGCACGGTGGGCGGAAAGACAACCGCAGCATTCTTCAAGCCAGCATGACATGAACAACTTCCAAGGTACCACGTCGCACATCATCCGCATCGGGAGGCTTTATCTCGGATGATGGATGCTTTCCTCCGAGGCTACTGTGGAGATGCTGCGAAGGGCGATGGGGGTTCAAGGGGGATATATATGTAAGGCTCTGCAGGTGGTCGAGACTCAACGGATTAAAAAACAAAAATGCATCCAACAACGTACCGCTCACGTTGCCAACCATCGCGTTCTAGCATACAAAGAGGTAATGCACGAAGTTTAGTATCAACCCCTGAACCCTGAACCCTAATCCTTTGGCATCAAGGAATAGCGTCAGAGTTAAACCCTAACGAAGGGCCGACATCTGCTCCCCTTCGTCATGGGATGTCTTCCCCCATGTGCCCTACATTTGACGCTAAAGCTGTTTGGTGCTCAACCTGTAGGGAATGGGGGAGTGGCTTGCACGCACAACTGCAGGAAATTACTTAAGGACTGCTATAGGGATCCGTGTCCTCGTTCTTTGCTAGGCAGCAAGAAGAAAATCCCAGACGACATTTGGTGTACTCGCTCGAATATCATAACTCACCAAAGTTTTGAATGTCGACCGCAATCCGCCGCCAGATACCTCTTTCAGGACCTTGGCTCCTGAAGCCACAATGGGACCAGAATTGCAAATCTCCTGGCTGTCACCCAAACTTACTGGGCTGCGGTTAAGGAACTAAAGTTAAGTTACCAAATATGGGCAGATAGTAAATAATAGGGTTACCATAAAATGGGTATATAATAGATTGAATGATAATAGAATTTCCCAAAAAAATGTGTATATTGTAAATATTAGGGTTTCCCTGATATAGTCGCTTAATTTAAATTCCTTAACAGCAACCCGAGCTTCTCTAAAGCAAAGTCCTGTTCGAAGCCACGACAGCGCGTCGTAGCCTCAACAGGAGGATTCGGAGCAAGAGCAACCACATTGACACAAGCGTGCGCAATATTTGTGCACCGCATTCCGGGGACTGTTACATGCTCCACAAGAAGTTCATGTTACTTCAGGACTTTTGAGTTCACAAGTTGCCGAAAATGCCACATGGACTTTGAACCCTAGACCCTAAACCCTATATAACCACATTATAATTGTTTCCATTTTCTTTTTCATTATCCCAAGATACCCCCAATATTGCCCCTACAAAACCCCAATATAACCCTAAACCTTGGTGGCATCTTGAAGGCCCCGAGATGATCTATGGTTCCCTCATGCAACAGTAAGGCAACCTTGCAGATTTTGTCAAGATGCCACCCAATGAACCCCTGTAATGCGGATCCCCTGCAACCTAGGCATGATGTCTTACAAGGGGTTTAGGGTTTAGGGTTTAGGGGTCTAATGTCCAAGCCCGAAAAATACCAAACACTATGGTCCAAACTGCCTGGTGTAACTATAGTATAGGGTACCCCCAATAAATCTTAAAATGCTATGGGCCAATGCTTACAAAACAGCATTACGCGCAATGTCCCTGCGCAAGCTGTCCTAGTCCGCAGAACTAGCGCTCTATTTTTGCCGCCTGTTACTACCCAGTGCTTGGTATTTCAGCTATTTCGAGCACATGAGCTGTAGTCTAAACTCCTAGCATCCTAAAACTCACATGATTCGCTGGTTCATCCTTAAAACCTGGAAAGTCTGCGATTTAGCTCATATTTTGTGGGTTTCAAGATTCATCACAGTTGGGGTGTAACAGAAATGTAAGCGACGGCCGATACTTAATGCAAAGCTACTGGACACAGGGCTTTGCCAGGGACAAGCTGTGAAGTGCAACCCAAAAACCCTAAACCCTAACCTGCAACTTCTAAGCCCTAAACTGCAATTTCTAAGCCGTAAAGAAGTAGCGGCAAGGGCTATGCATTAAGTTTTCTGGTTCATCCCCGTAAAGATTTAATCCCAGAATGTTCCACTTGGAGAAATGCCAAATTTAGGGCATTCAGCTGGGTTGCTGTTAAGGAANNCCATTATGGTAACTTAATTAAGTTCCTTAACAGCAACCCAGTATTTAGGGCATTCAGGGGTCAGTCCGGGAGCCATCCGAGGGCTTACTGTTTGGATGGATTTAGGGATTTCCTAAAATTAGGGGCACCTTTTTGAAGGTCCCCTTAGTATATTAGGGTCTACATGAGGGTCCCCCCATTTTGGGAAACTACCATTTAGGGTTTAGGGTACTTCAACTTCGGATTCAACACCTGGGCCCCAGATCTTCCAACACTCTGAATCATCTTGACCCTAAATCCAGAACCTTCAACCGTCTCTTGAACAATTTTGGACTTTGATGTGACGCCGACATTATTCTATGCAAGGGTAGGAGCCTACCAAGTGTAGGAGCCTACAAAATCAGAACAATGTTGTTGGGGTATATGCTGCTAAAAGACTTCCAAACTATACCCTGGCTTAAAGTCTTAACACATGTAAATAAGCGGCCAACTTGGTCACTTAAATGATACGGCTTGCTGCCCGTGAGTGAGTGGTAATGGCCCTGAAAGTTCAAGCGAGACAAACTCAAACCACCAGCCCTTAAACTGGGTTACAGTTAAGAAACTTAAGCCAAGTTACCATAATGGGTCTAAACCCTAAACCCTAAACCGTAAACCTACATAATAGGGTTTCCCCAATTTAGTAACTTAGATTAAAATCCTTAACAGCAACCAAGTAAAATCTG